ACTAAAGATGGTGAAAGTCATTCGCTTTCAACAAGCTGATTTTTCCTAATTAAAATTTTCACTGAAAGCAGAAAAAAGCAGGATCTAAAGGGATGATGTTAATAGAGCATGAATCAGGCCCTGCAGTTTTATTAGCAAAACCCCAGATGGAAGGTGTCTTCATTTACTGATGCAGTCGATGCAGCTGAATGTTTCATTTAACCCAGATACATGTATCTAGGATCTGTGCAAAAAACCCAGTAGTTGTTTTTGGTTTTTTTTTACAATAGCTGCAGCAAGCGCCATGGATGCCTTTCACATCCAACTAAATTAAATGCCAAGTAATCACTTTCCAATGAAGCCACCATTTTAGAAATAGTTGAGTGCATTCACTATGTCTCTCACTGGAGCTGAGGAGGACAGACTGAAGAATGGCAAACTTAAAAGGTCTGAGCAACTAGGTATTGCAGAGCTGTCCACTGCATGTGGCAGCAGAAGGCTGCCCCTATAGGCCCAGTAAGTCCTTGTCTGCCTACACTTATGCAAGCAGCTGATAAGTCCTTCCAGAGCCCTGAAAAGAATCGGTACTCACAGTTGTGGTATCCTCCTCCCTGGGATAAAGAAGGATTGCACTCCAGTCTTCCCTGGTTTGAGAATGAAGAGATGCAATGCTGCTGCACCGTGTTGGTCAAGCCTGTTATTTTGGTAATGAAATCTCAGCAATCTTGTTCTTTCTGGTTTTTACCATGGGTTGCTTAGATTTTCTCTCTACTCCTAGTTATGGTTTGTTTCTTGAAGGGGATGGCAGCTTCCCTTTTTTCCCATAGTGACCTTGTTGGGAGATTGTGGATCAGCATGACTCCTTTTCCTGGGAAAGAAAACGGAGGGAAGAAGCACCTCCTGCTTCTGCTGGTAGCTGCTGTTCTTACCTTGCTGATAATAGCTCTGCCACACCAGTGGCAGGTGTTTGCCAGGCTATGCAGCTCAAATACATTTTAGTAGGCTTGTGAAGGAGGCTAGGACAGGGATTTATGTTGTGTGGAGGGACATACTAATATAAATACAGCATAGGAGAAAACATAGAAGCACTTGAAACAAAACTTGGTTTGACAATGATGCAAGTATCACTGGGAGAAGAAAAGGGGTGGAATTTTCTCTTTACGGCACATTGAGGTATGACTATAGCAGGAGCAGGCGTGCCAACCCAGAGGTAGACGGCTCAGAGAGCACTGATGCACAGTCGTTAAAATACAAATCCGGTATCCCTAATAAGCCTGTACTCCAGTCCATTCCAATGCATCTTCATAGCTTTTGTTGTGCTGCATAAATTAAAGGTAATTAAGATATGCTGCAATCACATGTTTTCATTTTGCTGCTTATAGGTAAGGTAAGGTTAGGATGGCTCTGAAGTGATAGGTGGGAAAGAGCCAGGTGGATGCAAGGGTAACACATGGTCAGTGAGCTGGTAGGATTTCAGCATTTTCAGTGAATTTGGAGGAGAGAAGGGAACAGAACTAAACTCACTGTGGACAGAAATGAAAAGCAGCAGTGATAAAAATGTAAAATGGTCATCAAAGAGTAAAAAGAGATGATGCTAAAGTAATGATGAGGAAGAGCAGTGGAGCCATGAGTCCAGGACTTCACACCAAATGTTGAGGCAGGAGTGAGGACATAAGAGACTTCAGATCAGTTACAGACTTCTGTATTAAAAAGAGTTTCAAATGGTGCAGTTTTCATCCTTTGTATCACTTAGCTCTTCAGCTGTGCTCCCTCAGCTGGAATATCTTTGTGGTAGCAGGGAGATCGCACATAAAGTAGAAGACAAGAAAATATAAAAGGCCAACTTCTTGTTTGCAGGACAGCATTCTGTAAAGCACAGGTATTACAGCTATCTTTCGGAGTTGGACATGGACAGCACATTTTTGTTGGTGGTTAAGGAATTTTTCTGTCCTAAATGTGTCTGTAAATTTGTGAATGGATATAAGCAACAATCCTTCATACTCTTCTTCTAATTGGCATACCTTTCTCGGTTTCTTTTCTTTGTCTGCCTTTTTTTGTGTGTGTGTGTTAGCAATTTCTTTTAAGCAGGAAACCTTTCTACTTTCTCTTATTCCCTCCCATTGGTTACATCATTGTTAGGTTACATCATTGCTAGGTTACATCATTGCTAGGTTCAAGAGAATATCTCCAGCATAAAAATGGAGAAAAATAGAAGGATAAGGTACTAGCATTTCCCAGAGCCTTTTTTTTTTTTTTTTCTTCAAGCTGTTTTTAGAGTTGGGGAGATATAGAAAAGGTTTATACTGGGATGGTTTACAAAATGGACTTCCTGAGATTTTTAAATGATGCTGCAGAGAAGACTTCACAAACTGAAAAGGCCATATTTCCTGGAGCAGAGAAAAATGGTTGGGAGTGGTTGTTCACACTATAATCTCAAAAAAGGTATATACATAACGCTACACCCATGGGAAAAAGGAAAAAAAAGCAAAACTATGAACAATATGGCAATGCACTGTGATAATAAAAACTCATCTTTAAAAAATATATAAGAAAGAAGCATACTGTCAACATGGCTATACATCACACACATTGCACCAGTCAAACCAAAATGGTCTAGTAACTACCATTTTTAGTTTTAGCTTAAGGCAAACATGAGGTAAAATGCACAAAGCTAACACTACCAGCTCAGCTAATCCACAGTCATTTACTAAGTTGTTATACAGAATACATGTAGCTGTGTTAATTTAACAAGCCAAACCTTCTTTCCATAAAATGGAAAAGGTGTAATAAAGTAGGTTAAATTTCACTTATAGTGTATGGTCAAATACCAGTTTTGAGTATTCTTTTTATATCTAATTGAACTTGTGTGAACTTGAAATTGCTTGAACTAGCTTGTCTGTTTGAACTACCTTGCTTGATCTGCTTTCTGTTTTTAAAAAATTGGCTTCATAATAATAAAAACTACACATAGGAAAGGCACACTGTTTACTTTCAGCAACAACCCCTTTTATTTTAATATTTTGAGTTTTATAGATCACATTAAGATATCCTACTATTGTGTGATACCAAACAAAAGTTATCTTTACTCTTTGCAGTATAGTGGACTAGGTTATGATTTACACTGACTATATACAGAATATAATTACTTAAAATTAAATTTTCAATTGTAATATTTTAATTAGATTTGAATTTATTGTTGTTTATTTTTTTAATAGATAATTTTATAATTTGACCCTGTTCCCCCAGTATACACATATTTTGTCGCTTACAATGGTGGTTTTGTTTAAGAGTATACCTAGCTATTAGACAACATGTTTCTAAAGGAGTTTCCAGGTCAAGTAAGCAATGCCATTCTCACTTTGTTTGAGCTGCTCTATTTACACAGGTTTTTATATGTTTCTCACTCTTTTTCCCTGATGCGATAAGTTTTTTTTAAGAAAGCAAGGATGTGCATGCAACATAATTATTCATATCCATGTCTTCTCCAGTTAAGTTCTCTCAGTCAACACCTCACTGGAAAAATCATAAAATGGATTTAATTGTGTGCTTGTCAAGGTGGGACTAGACCAACTCTATATTTCAGTGGGATTTAGGCACTTAAATATATAGCAACTTTAAAATCCAAGGCTTCAATATTTTTCTGAATTCATTCAAAGCTAATTTCACATATTTAGATTTCTCCTTGCCTATTTATTTATACACTATCTCCATTAGCAAATATTTATAAATATACATAAATGTGTGTGCATGTATATGCATTTCTTTCAGCAAGTCTTTCATTCTTCCTTGATTTTATAACGGATGCATGGATGCACCCATTTTAAGCATGGATGTGGCAAATAACATACTATACTTAAGAAAGGATCATGAGATAGAACTTGGAAAGATTAAGGAAAAAAAGAGTGATAAAGTATATGAACTTAGAAAGAGATACTGATCTGGAAATGAACTGTTAGTGCATGCTAAAAATCGATGCAACTGAGAGATGACTCAATGACTCTCAACAACTGCAGAGGACAGAGGACTTTTTTGCAGCTAATATGTGAAAACAAACAAATTAATCAAGCTAAAATCAAACATTCCAAATACAGTGTACAAAAAAGGAGGCAAATACCTGAAACCTTTCTTCTCATGTCATTCCTAAATAACATTTTTAGAAATTGTTTTGTAGAAATCAGATTTCCTGTATTTTTAATTATGTAAATTATGTATTATATATTTAGATAGCTGATATAGATCACTTTATTTTTTTATGTCAGTCTTTCAGGTTTTCTCTTTTCCCATCTATTTATATTTTGGGAAGATCCATGGAATTCTTCCCACTTTTTCAATAAAACTAGCAAAATTTTTGTACAGAAAAACCTAACAACCATGAATGAAAATGTATGTTTAAGAAGGAACTGGGGTTTGTTTTGAAACAAAATTTGGAAGATTACACTTTAAACAGATAATGAAACTATGATTTTATGCATGGTTATTGAGTTCTTAAATGAGGGGCTTTTCAACTTTACATAATTGTGGCTTTTCAATCTACAATAATTCCTTAATAACTCAACCTCTCAAGTTTGATTTTGATGTTGGTTACTAATGTTTATAGTTTGAATTATGAATATCATTTTAACTTGCATAAGGAAGTGGTTTATATCTGTATCTCTAAAGTTGGAGCCCAGCCATAACATTTGTATAACTGATAAAAATCTGCTACTCTGTCACACTGAAGCAAATTTCTTAATAATTGTCATGGAAATAAATTAGTTAAGAGTACAGAATTGAACACAAAGTTTATCACAAACCTTTTAACTGAAATTAGGTGATCAACTTTATGTATTATGAATTCATTTAAATCTTAAAAAAAAAATGTATTTTGCTTTTCAATAAGTGAGGGATGAGAGACAGCTGATTCTCGGATGTATCTGGGTTTCAAGTTCCTAGAAGCTAGATTTTGAGCTTAATCTTCCTAATTACACAAGATTTGTAAATTTGGTAAAAGAAAACATTGCCATTAAACTCAAGGTAAGAAATTATTATACATTGTTTTATGTATCTTTATATAAAAAGTTACAAGTAGCAAGCATATGACACAGAAATGGAACAGTAACATCAATAATTGTGAATGCATGCTTTTTACAATGTATCTAGTAAAGGGATTTTTGCCAACTCAAATATTCAGTAACATACATGCAGTTTATTTTCTCAATGTCAAATTCAGTCATATTGCTAGGTGCTTATCCAACAAACATTTCTATTGAAGTGATTATGAATAGCTAAATACCTGATTTCAATAAATTGTTCCTGAAATTGGGAATTTAACTTGCAATGAAAAGAAGAGAGAAAAAGAAAAAGATAAATGACCGATAAGCATGATAACCAGAGTCTTATTGCCTTCTAGTAATTTTACTCAACACTGTTTGCTGATTTTTGTCATGATATGAGAATAGCTGGTCAGAGAGTCCATAAAACCTCTAGCTGGTGTTTCCAAGGACGATAGTTTCACATTTCATTGTAGCATGTTCAAAATCACCCAGGAGCGCACTATTCTCAAGCAGTCTATATAATGAAAACAACGTACATATAACAGAAGTTCAATGTAAATCTTCTTCCACATATCACACAACATACAAGTGAATAACAGACATAAAACATATTAACTGAAATAAAACTAAGATTAAAAAAAAAAAAAAAAAAAAAAGGACGGTCTCAGTTAGGAGCTAATTTCTTCTTCAAGTTTGCAGCAAACCTCCAAATGTATTTAAAAACTAAGGAGCACTTGGCCAGCAACCAAATTACAAAAGAAACATATTATTGTGTAATGGGATTATTTTGCTAAGGAAGTAAGATATGGCTGTACTTCTTAGGTTTGGATAAAGGCAATGAAATGAAATTAGAAACATATCCACCCTCTCTTTCAGACAGCCGAAATAATTCACTATAGATTTTTCCATTCAGAGTTTGCATGACTGCATGAATAATTGTCTGAAAGCAAAACAGAGTTATATTATGTTCTCTCTATGAGGAAAAATACAGAAAAATATTTACCTAAACGATCTAGAAGCAATAAAAGCATTAATGGATTCTTTTCCAGTAAAATTGATGTATACATATATACACATATAGACATGTATATACACATAATCTATATTTATATATATACACATACATATATAAATTGACAGACTAGCAGCTATCTATAACTTCATTATAAACATCTGAGATTATGTTTATTGAGATTAAGTGTTGATAACAAATTACACAAAATGAAAAGCTTAGGAAAAGACTCAAAAAAGGAAGATGATTTGCATTTACATTAGTGCTACAGAATCTCTAAATTTATCCATACTACCACATACCCTTCCGCTGACACTTCACAAGGTTGAATGAATAAAATGAACTGAAAACAGTGTTGCACATCTTCCTGGCTTGGGTTAGATTGCCAAGTTTTACATACTGTTTCACATGCTGGGACTCTCAATTTTATTTTCGTAAATAAAAAAATAAATGAAACACCAGAGCCATGCAAAGCACCTGTCTTTATAATGTATTTGGAATGAAGATTATATTTAGCTAGCAGATTATTATAGTGCTGTCAAGAATAGGAAATAATAGATTTTGCTTAGTTTACAATGTTAAAGTGGTCATCTGTCTTTCAGTTTTCTCAGTATTCAAACCTGGCTCTCTCCATACAAGGGACATATAACTTGAGAACATGCATTTTAGCAATATAACAAATAAAATGGAAAGCAACAGATGGTTCAATTGTTGTATAGGTATGTTTACTTACCTCAAGTTTGTCTCTTAGACCCTAGTTGTGTTGTACTCAGACTCATGTTTGCTTAGAGACCCAATGAGGCAGAACCTGGAATGTTATGGCTATTTCATTCAAAATAATAATGTTTGCACAGAAAAAAAGAAATATATGCATATAGATACTTAATAAACAGTACACTTTGATAACCTGATCAATATTCATGAAGTAATTTACATTGGCATGCAGTTAGACCAAAATAATCAGATAACTTTTTTTTTTTAAGAGACAGAAATACCTTAATGTGCAAAGAAAATATGGAGGGCATGTAAACAGTCACAAGAAGTGCATAAATAATGCATGCAAGAGGAAACAAATATATATTAAAAGCTTCTGTGTTCTTTTTCAAATAAATTGTTCATAAATGTTTCTACTTTTCTTTTTCTTTTACTTGTAAACTTTTAATCATTTATATTTACAGTCATTCAAAGTGCAATATACAGTAGAAATAGCTCTTTTATTAAAAATATCATGCTTGACTACTTTTTTATTGATTAGAAAGATTCTTTTTAACTACATTCTTATATGTAAATATATGAGTATTCTCTATTAACTATGCTGTCTTATGTTCTAATCAATATATATATATACGTTAATATGACAAGCCAAGATACTGTGATTAATAATGGAACAGATACAGTAAAGTTTTGCAAATATTGTCATTCATTATATAAAAGATAATGTTTCATGAGAAAAGGGGTTTCCTACCCCAGGATTGTGTTTCTCATTATTGTGCCATGCATGAAAATGGATACATGTATTTTTTATTTATTGATGTATTGATTTAGAGATGTTAGACCAACAGTGGATGATACTCAAGGCCACCTCAGTTACAAGGAAACCACAGGTATGTGGCTCTTTCAAAAACTAGATTCACACAAAATCTTCTTTGGTTTTTAAAAAGTGTGCCTGTTCTCTCTTGACCTGTGTGGGTACGCATGTGGGTATGTGTAAAACAGTAAAAGAAAAAGAAAGATATAAAGTATAAAGGTAAAATTGAGATACAGGATCCTTCAGGAAACAGGAGCAGAGATGAGAGAAAGAGAGACAGGAAAAGAGAGATAATATAATGGTATGTGCTATCAGGAAACAGAAATTTAAACAACAAATAAAGAAGAAAGAAAATATGTCTTTACTGAATAAAGAGTGAATATGTTTGGGCAATCAAGTCCTTACACAATAGTCTTCATCAAAAATCTATTGATACTGACCGCTGAACAGCTTTATCATGTCTGGACAGCCTGTGACTTGTGGTTGGTAGCTCTTCAATTTCGTCTATCTCACACGGATCTGCAGCATCTTGTGAGTAGCTATGCTTCATGACAAGGATATTTCTCCTGTTCATGGGCTGAATGAGTGGTTTTACAGGCTGGGGTTGTATTTCTGTCAAGACAGAAGCATCTCTTGTGCTGAGGTTACTACGGCTGCCCTTAACACTAGACACTTGTGATCCACAGTGATGGTCATGAATGCATTTTGAAGATGATCTCCGCAGTTTATGATAATTTTCAAAGTCATCTGCAACATCAGCAAGGTCAGCTGTAGGCCCTGTCCCTCTGAGAGTGCATAACTCATAATGAGGAGGCTCAAATACCTCCTGGAACACTGTTTGATCAAAGTCTGTTTTCCTTTGGACAAATTTTTTACGAGGCTGCTTGATCTGTACTATAACAGAGATAACAATGAGGATGATCACAATGCAAGAAGTCACCCCAATTATAGTCCCACTGGTATTGGTAAGTTGGTCCAATAAGTTAGCTTTTCTTTTTTCTGTGTGACAGGAGAAAAAAAAATAACACTGCGTTAATTCCAGTTCAAGAATAAAAACAACCGTGATGGGTTCACACATTACTGCAAAGCTGAGCCTAGTCTATGTCCGAGTTCACTTAATCAATCTCACTGATAAAAAGAAAAAAGGAAGAAATCAGGTATTTGTGAAAGCCAAATAAACAACACACAGGTTCTCTGTGTGCCTATTCACTTGGAAAGTGATTTATTCAGGGTATATTACAAGCTTAATTAAATGAAAGAATTATTTACATTTTTTATAAAAAGCAACCACCATAAAGCAGATGGCTTTAGTGTCACCTCTGAACTATGTTTGCCTGCTAAAGCCCTCGAGACTGTTACAGATGTTCTCTTCATTATCTTCTGTCTCTTCCAGTAAATATATGCAACTAGGACATTAGGACCAATGAAAGAGAAAGACTTCACAGGATTTAAAAAGAAATTCTTCTTTGCATTGGGAACTTTGGTGAAGTCCTAATATTTATGAGCTGAATGGGACTGTTGACAGTATTCAAGGAAAAAGCTAGATCAGGAGAAAATAGAAAAGTTATTCAAAATGAGATTTCAGAAAGGGAAAAAAAAAAAAAAAAGTGTGCAAGTTATTTCTTTTGTTCCTGACCTATTAATTACCACAATTTTTCTAAACACCCATGAAAATCCAAAAGCTGATCCTACCGACTATCCTTTACTCGGGGGTCTCTAGGAAGTTAGCCAGCAAATTCAGCATTGTGAATGATGAAAAACAGAAAATATGCAGTAAAATAATAAAAAGAAAACCAGTTTCACCCTACTGTTGCATATGTTTCTCTGTGATTTGCTTTCAAATGGCTGCAGACATGAGACAGTGACTGAGCCTTGTAGAAATCCAAGCTGAAAACATTTGCATCAGTCTCTCACAGGCATAGCAAGACTTGGCAACTGTGATTAAGTTTCAACACCCAGTTTAGTGTCATTTTTCCTGGTAACCTAAAACATATCAAAGGACTGAATAAAAAGCCTTTGAAATGAAAGTTATTGGCACCAAAACAATAACATCCATCTCTTCATAATCTCCTAGATAACAAAAATGAACTTTTCAGTGCTCCCGACTGCCTACTCTTGTAGATTCACCTGGGGTTTCTCTAACTGACACAGACTCTGGGGAGGTAGCAGAGTTGGAAAAAGCAAAACAGCAGCAAACAACCTTTTTGCTGGAATCAGCAAACCTCCTTTTTCTAGTCAGAAAAACAAGAGAGGATATATACACAAGACCGAATAAAAGATACTTGGCAAATGAAAGATGAAAATAATTCTGGAAATTAAAGAGTGGGGGAGGTTTTCTGTTTTCCGCTGTGCTGAAGAAGTAGAGAACAGATAATTATTTCCCAATCGTATGTTTCTTTGAAAAATACTATGCCATGCCACAGTTTTGCTGTGTTCTTTTGAAGTATGTTTTCATTTGTGTTTTACCCTATTGCACTGCTTGTCAGGATTTTACAGGCTTCAGCAGACTTATGGGCTGACTGCTAATCCACCTCATTCTGAATTTTTTCTTGATTGGTTCCTAAATTTGGCATATCCCATGCTTCCAGGAACAAATCTGCAGTAATGCAGGGGAAGGGCAGGAGGGAAGCGAACTGTCTCCCTAGCCTTCAGTGTAAGTTAGTTAAGCTCTTTTCCCTGAAGACAACACAGATGCTGATTTTTTTTTTCCCAGAAACACAGAGCAATATTTAGAAACCATTGTCAGCATCTGGTTAGGAACGTCAGTCCCTACCTATGAAACAGACATTATGCCTTATTTCCTGTGCTTGTTCCTTGCTCTTCAATTTCACTTGATGATAGGTAGATTTGGTTGCTTTCTTACAGTGTTAATTCCACTTTACCTTGGCTTTTTAGCCCACCTGGGCTATTATAGGCATGGCATGCAGCTAAAAGACACCTGCTACCCATATCTTACTCCGCTATAAAGGTAACTATGACAAAGGAACCAAAATATGACTTTTAATTACATTTTAGATGGTACGGGAAACAGAGGCCAAGTGATCAGAAAGCCTGCCAGAAGGACATAACCAGCCAGAAGGACATAACCAACACAAATCAACACCAAGCAAAACAAATGCAAACACTGAAAGTAAAATCCATCAGTATTTTTACCTCTCTTCATTTTCTCTATTGCTTGATGTATGCTCTCCCTGAATTACTCTTCCTGAGCTTTGATCCATCTGGCGCATACTTAACAAGAACCTAAGGATAGTATGCTGTATCCCAGGTGGTCTAAATGACTTGACATTTACAATTCTACACATTACCTTTGCAGTGGTTTTCATCCCAAGGATACACACAATTCTGGAGTCCATTGCAGACCAAGGTATTATTAATACACATATTACTGTGGCAAAAGAATGTGTTGGCTTCACAAGGGGCTAAAAACAAGAGAGAAAAAGCTGATATTAAGTAGTAAATCATTCAGCTTTCCGCAACAAACACATCTAGGAGTGATCATAGAAACTGTGATAGGAAAAAACTATACAGCACAGGTTCCTTGAGCATATTTAATATTCGACATGCAACATTGAGAGCACTCCAGTCACACACTGTTTATTATTCTGTGGCAAGACATTTTCAGTTCTAAGATGATGGACTTTCCCATTATCTGACTCTCATGGTTGTAGTGGGTTGGCCCCCCATACATTCGTGGGGGGTCATTGCTGTGTTATCAACAGTTTTAGCCACAGATCCAAAACCCTATGGGTTGCTATGAAAAAGTTAAATGTATCCCAGCCAGATCCAGTGTATGGGAAATAATTTGTTTTAAAGTTTGTGGCTGAAACTCCAGTTTTTTAAGAAAACTTGTGTGACTCAAAGAAGATATGTACTGTAGTGCCTATATCAACGGTGCCGGAACATTTATATACAGAGAAAATAAAATTATTTAAAAAACCTTTTGGTCATAGGAAAGGTTACAGTAAAAAAGTACCCCTTTGATCACAAGTGTGAAGATTAAAAAATGCAACAGTCTTCAGTGTCCCTGAAGACCATGGTCTAGGAGAATCATGCAGATGAAAGCTGCAGGATGAAAGCTTTACTGAAGGCCATATACTACTACTGTGAAGAAGCAGCTTGGAAGCCATCAGAAGGGATCGTACACGCTGCTAAACTGTGCTACTTACTCAAGTGTTGGGAGATCCTTAGGTGTTGGGGTTGTAAAGATACTACTCCAAAATTATATAACACAGTAAAGATAAATTACTCCTCATATTTCTTTTATAAAAAGCCAAACCAGAAGATCTTCCTCCATTTAAAAAAAAGAGCTACAAATTTTATCAGTGTTAAATCAGTAAAAATGAACTGTTTATGTATTTTTTTAGCTCAAACAACCCAAAAGCATTATTGTAATTATTTTTAAGGGAAAGTTAAAAAATAACCTAAGACCCTTAACTAATCAGAAAGGAGTTATGATGTTCATATTATTGACACTTAGAATTTGATATTTCATGGCAACTTTTCTCCTCTGCAACTTTAAAAGCAGTTCCTATGACAACATATATGCATAGTGCAGAGACTGGCTCAGAGCAGATGACTGCTTCAGTGGTTTGCTAACTAAGGACAGTACAAAGGATTTATACTGTAGAACTTAATGACTCCATATATCATGTCAAGAAACCCACTTTTCAATAAGTGCTTAAGTTCAGATATCCATAACTGACTAAAATGGTTTCTTCAGAGCAGTTATGGTCTGTTAAACAAGTAGTAAATGCCATCAAAACTTGTACACACCCCCAAATATGCAACCATCCACTCAGATATCACAGTATACGTAAACTGTATCTCTTGGCCAATGCAGAAGACTGATCAGCCAGACTGGTTCTGCCCACTGTTCAATTTTTGGAAAAATCTGGTATACCATCTCCTAAGCTGCAGTGACTCTGGTCAGGTGTTAAGTTTGTTAGAGGAAGGATTTTACTTTAAACTGGACAGAAAGAGCAGAACAACACATGTGCATATTAGCAAGGGAGGGTGCTTTGGGACAGTCCATATCTACCTGTTGCTGTCATTTGGGGACAGTGAGGGCTGAGCCTGGAGAATACTGTGTCACATCAAGATGTGACACATCTTATAGGGAACCCACTAGAGACATTATCATCCTTTCACACTCTAGCTGCAATCCCTGTTTCTGGGCAAGGCGAGGATCTTTTGGGACTGGGTTTTCCAACACACAGAAAGAGTCTCACTGCCTGCTCTAAGCAAAAAAAGTGAAACATAGAGGGAGAGAATTTATGAAAGGGAAACCTAAGAAGACCTAGCCACCCATTCAAAATACACGGTAATATGTAGGAACTGCACAAGAAAGGACGACCCAAATGACAAATGGAGAAAGCACAAGGAGTGACAGGGGAGCAAGGAAAAAAAAAGAAGTGCAGGACTAGGAAATTTATGTTAATAAAGCCATAAAGAAGAAAAAAAAAGAAACACCAAAAGACATGCAGAGTGGCATGAAAGGCCTTAGAAGTGAAGTGGTGAGGGCAGAGTGCTGTGTCTGAGCAGGCAGAATTGCCTAGACTTGCTTTTGCCACTTTAAAATCAGTCTGATTTAATCCTGAAAGCAACAGCAAAGAAAGGATTAATAGTCAAAAAACAACCCCCACAAGAACAGAGAACAATTTAAAGGAAGGAAGAACAGTTGTGAGAGGCAGAAATGAAGGAATTTAGAAGTATAGTGGTGGTAAGTAGCAAAGGAGAACCAGAGGAAGGTAGTAAATGAAATGAAAGGAAGAGGAAGAAAGAGAGAACTGCACAGCAGAAATAGATGACACTTAAGGCATTCTGCACTGAAAGGAATGACAAGAGATTTTATATCAAATGAAAAATATTAGGAAATGTTTCAGAAATAAGAGCAGTACAAAAGACATTCTTTGCAGATTTAAGAAGAAGGGATAATTATGCGAAGTGATGGCAGGGAGATCTGGAAATGAAAGGCAAGAGAAAGGAAGAAGAAAGAAAGAAAATTTCAGTTTCTCTAAATTGTGCTGTTGAACTATGGAGGAAAGAGGTGGTATGTGAAGAAATGTCAAAACTAGATGAATAGTGAGGCAAAGCAATTTCAGAGTAAGTACAGCAAACTTAGCATGAGAGAAACCCAAATGTAAGATTCCTAACGCTAATGACAAACCACCCCCTCTTGTTCATGTTTAGAAAATTAGTATAGTCAAGTCCTCTCTATGGTCCCCTGGACCTGGATTAAGCTGGACAAGAAATCAATATAGTTTCTCCACTCTAATGAAGGCTTTTTGTTGGAATAAATGAAAGCATCAAGGGAAGCTGAAAACTTTTCAGTCCCATTGTACATTGGAGGAATTAGGTTTTTTGCCCTTGAAGAGGCACAGCAAAGGGGTCTTGGGATGCTGCATCAAGGACATTCTAGTAACAGTAAAAAGATAAATGAACTGGTAGCAAATACGATTCTTTTACAGCAAGATGGATCTAGTCCTAATGCTTTCCTGAAGCAGTTACGGAACCCAGGATGGGAGTGGAATCAAGCAGACAAGGTATGTGGCAGCAATACTTGATAGCTTAACCTAAGTCTTGAACATCATCTATGGCAATTCTTCAATATGTAAACATTTGAACCTGAGGAAAGGTTGTGGATGTTTTCACAAAAGGAAGCTACTGCTATCATTAGCTTCAACTAGATAAAGCAGCACAAACCTCTTCACCCAGCAGAAGCCCTACTCTATCAGTCTACGGTCTTCCCCATGAGTATATAAATGCCCTTTATATGAGAGAGCAGCGGGAATGCATAGAGCTCTGCCTTGGGTTGTGCGATGAGCCAAGTGAGAGTTTTTCTGTCACGATTAATGGACAGCCCAGTGTTGGCCCACAGCTACCAATATTGTAGTTGGTGTCCGTCTGATACAGACTACCTGATCAGGGACAAGAAGTAGATTAAACCTTCTTCAGACAGCTGGAAGAAGCCTCACATTCACAGGCCCTGGTCCTTATAGGGGATTTTAACCACCTGGTGTCTGTGGAGGGCAACACAGCAGGGCACAAGCAATCCAGGAGGTTTCCAAAGCGCATTGATGATAACTTGCTGATACAGGTAATCAAGGAGCTGATGAGGGGAGCTCTGCTGGGCCTTATGCTTTTATAAACAAGGAAGAACCGGTCAGGGATGTGAATGTCAGGTGCAGTCCTGGCTGCAGTGATCACGAGGTGGTGGAGTTCAGGATGCTGCAAAGAGGGAATAAGACTAAAAGCAGGATCCCAACTCTGGGCCTCAGGAGAGAAAAATTTCACTGTTGATGGGTCTGCTTGGAAGAAGGCCATGGGAGGTGGTCCTGGAAAGATAAGGGTTCCAGGATAGTTGGTTGATTCTGTAAGATCACGTCCTCCAAGCTCAACAGTTGTCTATCTAGACAAGCAGAAGGCAGCAGTGAGCCTGCATGGATGAACAATGAGCTACGGATTAAAATCAAACATAAAAAGGACACATACAAGAGGTGACAGCAGGGACAGATGACGCCAGCAGAAATATAGGGGCACTGACCAAAGATGCAGTGATACAGTTAGGAAAGCTGAAGCCCACCTGGAGTTGAATCTGGTGAGGGCTGTAAAGAGCGACAAAAAGGACTTCTACAGGTATGTTAGCTGCCAAAGCAAGATGGGGGAAAATGTGTGATGCTGAATGGGGCAGGGGACTTTGTGACAAAGGACATTGGAAAAGGCTGAGGTACTGAATGCCTTCTTCTCCTCCATCTTGTTTTTGTGGGATTTGCCTTTTGGAGTTCCAAGATGTGCTTGTTTCTCCAGGAGAAAGCCTGGAGCAAGGAAGACTTACTCTCAGTAGAAGAGGACCAGGTTAGGGAATATTTAAACAAACTGGACAGAAATGAGCCCATGGGGCCTGATGCGATGCCCCCAACAGTTGCCTAATGTCATTGTGAGGCCACTCTTGATTATCTCTGAAAGGTCATGGTGATGGGGGAAGGTTTCCAAGGATTGGAAGAAAGCAAATGATCCCCCATCTTTGAGAAAGGCGAGAAGGAGAAACCTGAGAGTTACAAGTCAGTGAGCCTCACCTCGATCCCTGGGAAGGTGACAGAGCAAATAATCCTGAAAATCTTTTCCAAACACATGAAGGACAAGAAGAGGGTTGTCTGCATGGACTTATGAAAGGGAAATCATGCTTGACCAACATGACAGCCTTCTGCGATTGGATCACTGGCTTGGTGAGTCAGGGGAGAGCAGTGGATGTTGTGTTTTTCTACTTAAGAAAAGCTTTCAACCCTGTTTTCCCTAACATAGACAAACTAATGAATATGGGCTAGATAAATAGACAGTGAGTTGGACTGAAACTGACCGAACTGCCAAGCTCAAAAAGTTGTGATCAGTAACATAACCAGCTGGAGGCAAGTCACTAGTG